TAATTTTTGTAAGAGACAGTATTTGGTATAAGAGATACCAGTGTAAAACTGTAGTGGTAAGTGTGTAACAGGTTATGTTTAACAAACAGAAGACACCAGGTTTCTGTAAGAGGAGCAATGACAGCAGTCAACCTTGAGAGGCATTCATTTTGGAGTCTGAGATATTTGAAAACTAGGCAACAGCAACGATTTAGCATCCTATATCCTGGTAAGCCATTTGCCAAGCCAAGATGTGATTTTCCAAAAACCTCAAGTTAGTATTTGTTAACACTGATTCTGATGTTATGATATAGAAGCAGGGTAAATACTATGCACCAGAAGAAGGGACTCCAAATCCATCACAGCAAATGGGCTGAAAAACGGTTGTAAAAAATAAAATTGTCGTGGAGAGACAGTTAAACAGAAGAGAGGTAATTTCCATCAAGGAAGTCCTCTGCGCGTCATTGTCTCACTCTTGTCAAACCAGAGAATTTTGAGTCTAAGAATGGCCACTGTTGTCTGCTAGATTGTTTACTTGCTTTTAGTAATGCAGTACATTAAATTTGTATCTTCTTGTTCTCTATCATACCTCCAGTACTTCCTACAATAAATTTGATACCTTTTTTAGGACTGTTTAGAAAGACAATTAAAACCAGTTATTTTGGCTATCTTTATATAATTAAACATTACCTATGCTTTTCTTGCCAGTTACCATCTTCGTTGTGTAGTCTGCTGGATAAATATCTCCCAATATATTTCAAAGAGAATAAAAGGTATGCTAAACTTTGCAAAAACACACTACACACTATCACCGTGATACTGACTTTATATTAATTTTGCATTAGATGCCTTCAGATACCAAGCCTATGCTGACAGAGCAAATAGGTATCACAGAATTATAGAATGGTTTGGGTTGGAAGGGCCCTTTGAAGCTCATCTAGCCCAATCCCCCTGCCATGGACACTGACATCTTTCACTAGATCAGGTTGCTCAAAGCCTCATCCAACCTGACTTCAAACACTTCCAACGATGGGGCTTCCACAACCTCTCAGGGCAACCTGTTCCAGTGTCTCACCACCCTCATTGTAAAAAAATTTCTTATGTCCAATCTAGATCTTTCAGTTTAAAACTGTTGCCCCTTGTCCTGACACTACAGACCCTGGTGAAAAGTCTCCCTCCACCTTTCTTATTGACAATGGCTTTAAGAATTGAACGGCTGCTGTAAGGTCTCCCTGAAGCCTTCTCTTCTCCAGGCTGAACAACCCCAACTCTCTCATCTTTTCTTCACAGGAGAGGTGTTCCATCCCACTGATCATTTTTGTGGCTCTCCTCTGGACCTGCTCCAACATGTCCATGTCTTTCCTGTGCTGAGGATGCCAGAGCTGGATGCAGTGCTCCAGCAAGGGTCTCACCAGAGCAGAGTAGAGGGGCAGAATCACCTCCCTTGACCTGCTGGCCACACTTCTTTTGATGCAGCCCAGGATACGGTTGGCTTTCTGGGCTGCGAGCACATGTTGCTGGCTCATGTCCAGCTTTTTGTCCACCAGTCCCCCAAGTCCTTCTCCACAGGGCTGCTCTCAATCCCTTCATCCCCCAGCCTGTACTGATATCGGGGGTTGCCCAACCCAGGTGCAGAACCTTGCACTTGGCCTTGTTGAACCTTGTGAGGTTCACATGGGCCCACCTCTCCAGCTTGTCCAGGTCCCTCTAGATGGCATCCCATCCCTCAGGCATGTCAACCGCACCACTCAGCTTGGTGTTATCCACAAACTCAACCCCACTATCTTACATCACTGAGGAAGATATTACATAGTATTGATCCCAGTACAGATCCTTGAAGGACACCATTCCTTACTGCTGCCCACTTGGACATTGGGCTATTGACTCTGACTCTTTGGACATGGCCGTCCAGCTAATTCCTTATCCTTACCTAGCATTACTTCCTAGCCCTGCACATGAAGATGAAGAATTTATAACAGAAATGTCTAACAAAAACCACTAACTATGGGCCTGCTCTGTGCCATACTGTCCTGTGACACTGTTTATATACTGACTCAGTATATAAAACAAGAAAATTAACCTAACAATTATGTTCATACGTCACTACAGAATGTAAAAAAAACCCAAATGGAAACCCAGAAACAACCTTCCCTTAGAACATCCAAATATGAACTTTATAGCTCCAGTCCATTTCACTAAAACTGTCTAGGGGGCAAAGATAACAGCAACAAAAAACATTTTTAAGGCCAGCCATCTGATTTGGTAGTAAAGGTAGTAAAACACGTTATATCTATAGCTTTCTTCCGGTCAAGCTTCAAGTTCTGGTTCCTGCAATCTAAGTTCTTTAAAAAAACACCAGGAAATACAGAAAGTTGTTGAAGCTATTTTCCCCAGTATCTGAAAAGCACCTGTACTGTTTTTGCTAGGGAGAATATGTCCAAACCTAAAGGCTTTCACAGCAGGAGACTGGGTGTTTAACAGAGCAAGACTAGCAAGCTAAAAAGCTTATGTACCTGCCTTTATTTTCCTCTGGATTAATTTCTTCTTTTTTTTTACATTACTGTGAGAATCTGTACCTTTCATGTTTCTGATCTTCCCCTTGCCTGGCTTGGATTACATTCTGATCCACTTCTGACTCAGCAATGCCTGTTGTTTCAGGGACTTAGAACCTTAAGTTCTAAGCAGCACAGTATTTTCTAAAAGTGGTCTTTCTAAAAGTGATGTTTACAAGGTATTACCACCAACCTTTTGCATGAATGGCAAAAGTCACTGTCAGACAAAACTCTCTAATGACTAGAAGGAAATAAAAAAATCAATTTCCACACAGTTTGGAGAAGCATGGGTTTCATTTGTTTTATTTACTAGACTAGAAGCAGAGGATTATTTTATTGAAGTCAAATTCAAAGCACTTGAGCACATTCATCACTTAGAAACTAAAATCAGAGTTGTTCAGATCAATGAAGCAGCAAAAGGCCAGCAGAGAGTTCAGGACCCTAGCAGCAAAGCACTTCTCTGTACTGTTCTGTAAGTCACAGCAGTACATCTTCAGGCACAAATTTGGCTTAGGCATTACCTAAATTTATTGTTATGAAGACATTAACTTGCCTCTATGCAGACCTTAACTTGCCTCACCACAATGTTTGAGACATTAACTCTTTCAGTCTCTCACACATGGGAAGCTAAAAAGTCCCTGACTTCAATTTTACTAGGGTAAGCACTAGTTAGCAACCACTAAAACACCGGTGTTAGCATTTTTCTCATCCTAAATCTGAAACACAGCCCTATGCCAGCTGCTAGGAAGGAAATTATCCCAGCTGAAACCAGGACACCTTTCTTCCATCAACTAAAAGATATCACTGAACAGAGGACGACAACTCACTACTGACTTTTTTCTTCAGCCACTGTCTGATCCAGCTTGAGAGTAAAGCTATTCTAAGTTTAAAACATACTCAAAATCTAACTGTAGCTATGTTATACGTTATAGAGCATGATACAGATTATAAAAGCTGTCTTACACTTTCTTATTGGTCAACATTTACTCCATTCTTGTATGCTTGTAACAATCTTTGAAGATATGGAAGTTCGAAAGTGATACACTCTTCCTTGTGAGGACCCAAACTTCAACATCCATGCAGGTTGTTACTGCTTTGGCAGGACGACCGAACACTGCACTGTTGCCTGAAATACAAAGTCAAAGTAGATGAATGCTTCCTCTGCCAACGCAGAGCAGAATTACTTTTCAGTGTAAAGGCAGACTACGTAGCTTCCACTTGGATTACAAACATGTGTAACTCTTTCAAAACCTATTTAAAGGTTTAAAGGACAACTTTTTAAACCTATGTAACAGGCTTACTGGTATTTAGAACAACAATCATATTGCAGAAACACTAAATTAAGGACTTTAGGCTTAGAGGCTACAAACGAAAAATTGCGCAGCTTGCTTTTCGTCCATGACACAACTTCCCAAAGACTGCAAAGGTGAAAAGTCAGTTACCTCTCACAAATGTACAGAGGGGACATGAAAGTAGTTGTTTCAGATAACCGGGTGAGAAAGAGTCATAAACATAATCCAAGATGTCCTAATAACAAGTAGGTTTTCTAGTGAGGAATCAGCAAAAGACTAATTTCAAGGATTTGGGTTGGACCCCCATGAACCTGACCTGGTAAAGTATGCTTAGAAGTCTCTGGGGCGATTTTTGCTTAATATGTCTTTCCTTTAACACACTGACTAAACTGGAGATGACAGTCACTGACAACAGAACCATATCGGAAACAAAACTGAAAATCTGATCCCAATCAGAAGATGTGGAAGATTTTTACAGCACATACAGTTCTGTTGATAGTTGAATTTCAGGGACGCACTTTCAGGTATATGAAGACATGACTTATGTCCTTACTCATCTTTCTTACCCATTCAAATTTCAGTCAACATAGTAATTTTCAGAAGAGAAAAAAAGAACCTAAGACAGGAGAGAGTCATCAGAGACTGGACTCTCTCAAGTTCCCTCAACAAGCTTCCTCCTTTTTAGACTGCTGCTGCTTCCACTAACAGAGATCCTTGTGGCCCACTTCTGTCTGCTCTCTGTCTTTCACATTCCAGTTCTCGTTCCCTGTCTCCCACACCATCTCAGTGTAATCCTCAGTTGCTCTTGTGCTTGACGCTCTTGTACTCTTGGAAGTGGCTAGTTGTCACAAAAAGCTTGTCAAGAAGATGGATAGACATCCAAACTATTTTAACATTGTTCTTTCCCTCTATGCTATAACCAGAATCTCAAGCATGCCTATGAAATAGAGGGGATGTAAAACATGTAAGTAAACTCTTGTCTAAGAAAAATTCTGCCTAAAAATTCCCTCACCAATGTATTTTGAAATGTTTTTCTTTTCCATTTTTTTTTCATGCACTGTGGATCTGAAACCTGTGGGAGTACACAGTTCTAATAATTTCAAACTGGTTATTACCCATATCTTCTAACAGACTCCTCTCCTTCTATGTATTAAAGAGAGCACAATGTTTTTGGTTTGGTTCAGTCTTCTCTGCTTGGCTCTTGGTTGTTCTAAGATCCAAGCTACAGCTGAGTAGAGGTACAGGTTTTTCATTTGGATACTCACACAGATTTGTATCTTACCTGTGCTATGAAGGGTACCACTTAATCAACCATATAACATGTCCTTTATTTTTTCACCTTTTGTAACACTTCCTGTAAAACTGAAGCTAGATGTTTGCAATAAAGCTTGTGAGAGTCTTAACAAATTTGTTTGCCTATCTGGAATGGATTTGGTTTGTTGAAGCATCTACTCTTAGGAAGTTATAATTTAAGCAGAAACATCTTGGAATGCATAAGTGTATTATGTGTACATATGCATACACTGTCCCCAGTACTCATCAGCGTCATGGATGTACTTACCTTCAGGGTGTGCAGGGTGTCGGTCCATTCCATGGAACCTATCTGAGGTATAGCAGTAAGGAGTATGCTAGTAGCCTTATTTGCATTCCCCTTCAGCGTCTTTAAAACTTTATCCACTGAAACCTAGAAATACAATAAAACTGAGTGGTGTCTCTCAATTTTGATGGCACAGGCCTTAAATACCCAAATAAATGTATTTAACTCGTACATCTCTAAGTGAAAAGATGAAGCCTTAAAATGCCACAATCTTTTTAGCCAGTAAAAACTTCTTTCCTCTGTGGGTGTATGTCTAATTGTATTTTACACAAATAGGAGAAATAAAGCAGATACATCGTTTTGCGCAGAGCTGCAAAAGAAAAAACACCAGACCAATTATGGGAAGACAAGCTCTTACACAGAGTTGATGAGCTTCATACACACCGACCCCCTGATTCAGACAAGAGGAGACAAAAGGTTTGGTAGTAGTGAGGCAAGTTTACGAAAATGAAAGGTATCAAAAATTTATTCTGTTCTTACTTTCACAATCATTCATCCAGAATAACTCCATGATACAGATGTAAGTAAGAACAGATTTAGTTCAGTGTTGTGGTTTAACCCCAGCCAGCAACTAAGCACTGCACAGCTGCTCGCTCACTCCCCTGCTGGTGAGAAGGGGGAGAGAATCAGAAGAGTAAAAGTGAGAAAACTCCTGGGTCGAGATAAAGACAGTTTAAATAGGGAAAGCAAAAGCCATGCATGCAAGCAAAGCAAAACAAGGAATCAATTCACTACTTCCCATTGGCAGGCAGGTGTTCAGCCACCCCCAAGAAAGCAGGGGTCCATCACGTGTAATGGTTACTTGGGAAGGCAAATGCCATCACTCTGAACATCCCCCCTTCCTCCTTCTTCCCTCAGCTTTCTATGCTGAGCATGATATCATATGGTATGGAACTTCCCTTTGGTCAGTTGGGGTCAGCTGTCCCAGCTGTGTCCCCTCCCAGCTTCTTGTGCACCCCCAGCCTGCTCACTGGTGGGGTGGGGTGAGGAGCAGAAAAGGCCTTGACTGTGTGTAAGCACTGCTCAGCAGGAACTAAAACATCCCTGTGTTACCAAGGCTTGTTTCCAGCACAAATCCAAAACATAGCCCCATGCTAGCTTCTATGAAGAAAATTGACTCTACCCGAGCCAAAACCAGCACATTCTCTATGTGATCTCTTATCAAAACCTACAGGTTCTCATCCAGATCCCTCAGGACAAGACCCAGAGGAAAAAAAGTTTCACTCACTGCTTCTTCATGTTCCTTCCAGCAGTCGTAATCTGTTGCCATGGCAATACTAGCATAACTCATTCCAGCTTCTTTCGCAAGAATCACTTCAGGCACTGTGGTCATGTTGATAACATCAGCTCCCCAGCTGCGAAACATCAAGCTTTCTGCTCGAGAACTGAAACGCGGGCCTTCGATTGTGATCATTGTCCCCTTGGAATGACACTGGAGCCCAAGCTTCTTGGCAGTCTCAATAAGAACCTGCAAAACATGCCAATATCAGGAAAAGGAAATAATTCCCCTGGTGCACTGCTTTTGCATGTCATCAAAAAACTCACATACAAAAGAAATTATGTTTATACAAAGCAGTCAAGCTTCATATGGCTACAGCTGTCAAAAACCAAGGATCAGTTTCAGTTTCCTCATCCAGCAAGAGAAATTAATAGCCCTACTAACAGGAATGATCTTGAACTCATCTGATTTTGCTAGTATCACTTGGATTACTGTTTTCAATGCAGACCAAGAAGATTAGAAAACAGAAATTTTTTTCATGATATTTAGGCTGTGCTTACACTGAGAACAGAATGGTGAAAATGCTCCACTGAGCACTACATTACCACATGGTGGAGTTGAGCTGGTGAGAACAGTAACAGAAAATTTACTTTTTGAAAGTAAAACTTTACAAGCATATACTTCAAACACTATCCTGCAAATCTGTAGAGAAATTATTACCACATTTTTCCATGCCAGTGACTGAGTTGTACACTTCACTTATACCATGTACTTCACATTAGTTGTAACTGTTCCAACTAGGACCTTGCATATGGCAGAATCATTATGACTTTCCCTCTTGATAAATGGCCTGGGTAACACCAGTTGATACAGTAGGAATAAGAGCGTACCAGCATGTGTAAATGGGACTAGGACACCCATAACAGTCCTGAGTAGGAAGGGGAAAGTAACTATGATGGCATCTGTTTAAAATGACCATCAACAGAGAAGTTTGAAAAGAAGTGTAAAAGCATCATGAAAAATTGTGACAGGACAGGAGACCTTCATAACACAGCAGCAGTGAAAACCTAGTCTGACACCACTAGAAGCTGCCTTGTCAGCATTCATGACCTTCACACAGGCCAGGTGCAGCAGCCTTCCTGCAAAACGCTGTGAGAAAACTGCACTCCAGCTGGTTGGCCAACCTGCTGTACATGGGTGCCACAAGCAGCGATACTTTGAGCGTGCTATGTGACCTCGTGGGGTGCCTCATCACCGGTGTGTGGATCAGTGGATTGTGTGGAGCAGCACAAGTACACGTAAAGCTGGAGTACCCAACATCTCCCACTGCAGACGCATGTAAACAGGTAAACCTGCACTCCCAGAAAAGGGTGGGTATGCATGTAACCCACATGTACTGGGGAAGGGTATTTGTGCAGGCAACTGTGTGAATATGGATGTAGGGGTAAAGCAGAGCTTCTGGGCACTAGCCACAGAAGGACACTTAGAAATTTGTAGGTGTTTATTAACATGCTGTAAGTTAATCTAATATTAATCACACGTAATATTGTGGTTTATTGCTGATATTCATTCTGAATGTATGATGCGCTGATTGCCAGTTAATTACACGTTGTTAATAAATCAATAGACAACTTCAATTGTGATTTGACTTGAATCACAGTTGAGCAGTATTTCCCTGAAACTCTTTACAAAGTTCCAACTTTTCTCCCTGTAAGATGATGCAGTAAGCCCCAGTTTCTGAAAGCAGTAATAACCAAGGCACCCTACGGTATTCAAAAGTTTGCAGTCGGAGAAAATATAAACTCCTTTCATTTAATTTACAGTGCATAAACCAAATAAAACAGAGTATTTTCACGTATTTGCAAAAATGCAATTTAATATAAAGTTTTCAGATGTTTTAATGCAAAATTCCTTAATTAGTTTATTACATGAATAGTTTTGGCTTTATTATTATTACATTTATCTATGAAATTCCTCTGAATTAGGATAAACTGGGCTGGAATGATCCCAACAATTCTCAATAGTTCCACGAAACAAGTTTGAGTCACTTTTATCTGGTATTTTCAAATTAAGTGAAAGTATCCCTTTTCAGCCTCGCTAAGAGCTCAAACCACATGTTCTTTAAAACATCTGTTACGCTGATTAGAATGCATAGGCTAATGAGATAATGATCACATGTGAGACTGGGAAGTACCTAAATGTTTTTTCTCTGTTTGAAAAAGAGCATTTCTCTGTTGGCTTTTCAAAAAATACAATATCCAAAGAAAACTGTCTCTAGCTACTTAACAATCGAATAAAAACTAGCCTTGGCATATGCTTCCTGCAACCTCAGGAAATGGCTTATGCATATCTACTTACCTTTTTTAAAAAATGAGAAAGAGACACAGTGTGAAGTACTGCCAATCACTTCAGTAATACCACTTTTTTGATCCATTTCAGAAAGCATAGTTAGCTTTCAATAAACTCCTTGTATCTGTTGTGACATGACATCATGCTCAAACTCAGTAAGCAACTATATGCCAACTAATCTTTGGTACGAGAATGTGGCTAGGCTCTTGTTGCATGAAAAATGAAAAGTATTTTGCATAATTTGCTGCTCAATGGAAGAAGGGCAAAAGCATGCGCATGTGTAATATATAGTGGTTTGTTTCCTCATGAGATTTAAAATGTCTTTACTTCATTGCAAAACACCTTGATACCCAGGGCACTGAAGCATTGTCTGCTATAAGTGCTGTGGACCTGCTGGGGGATCTCTCAAGACCACAGTGTGTCTGGCCAATTAACAAAAATAGCCTCTAATGACACTGAAGTGAATTGGTGACAAAAGCAGAATAGTTCAGTAGTACAATAATTTGTACATGCTCTGGGTACAGATTGGGCCACCTGCTTCACAAGTCAGCTTTGTCCTGCTCAGTGTAGTAACTGACTGCACAGAGAGCAAGTCTCTTAGATGGATATGACTGATTCTGTAAGCATTCCTGTGCCCCTAGAGAATGTACCTCCTTACAGCTTCTGATCAGAACATTCCACAACAGCACCAAAAGCATAGTTTAATCGTGAACTTCCCTTTTCCTCATGTCTAAGAATATGCTAAGGTGGCATATTTAATCACAGATACATTCCTCCCAGAAGCTTATAAAAGTGTTGAAAAACAGAGCAGTGTTTTACACTGCTTAGTCTAAGTAGTTTTGAAGCCTGGAAATCTTGAAGTGACAAAACTAAGAGCAACAAAACTAAGAGCAACAGTTAAGAATAAAAGGCTACTATAATTTGTCTTGTTTCATTTAAACTAACCCTTGACTCTCCACCACAATCCACTGCTGCAACACACACAGCCCAAATGCAATATTGTAATTTCTGTGAATGTTAAAGTACTATTTATTTAATTCTTTGTATTAAGTATGTAGAGTGCCTCTACCATAAGTACAGTTTTAGTCAGAACAAAAAGGAACTAATTCCTAATTCTATCTTCCTGCTTTGTCCACTTTGTTGCTCTCTTGGCTTGTTACCTGATGTCCTGGTTTCAGCTGGGATAGAGTTAATTTTCTTCCTAGTAGCTGCCATAGTGCTGTGGTTTGGATTTAGTAGGAGAAGAATGTTGATAACACGCTGATGTTTTAGTTGTTGCTAAGTAGTGCTAATGCTAGTCAAGGACTTTTCAGCTTCCCATGCTCTGCCAGGTGCACAAGAAACTGGGAGGGGGCACAGCCAGAAGAGTTGATCCAAACTGACCAAAGCAGTATTCCATACCATATGACGTCATGCTCAGTATAGAAACTGGGGGGGGTTGGCCGGGGAGCAGCGATCGCTGCTCAGGAACTGTCTGGGTATCGGTCGGCAGGTGGTGAGCAATTGCATTGTGCATCACTTGCTTTGTATATTATTATTATCATTATTATATTGTTATTATTATCATTACTATTTTACTGTATTTCAATTATTAAACTGTTCTTATTCCAACCCAGGAGTGTTTCTCACTCTTACTCCTCCAATTCTCTCCCCCATCCCATCGGGGTAGGGGCAGTGAGCGAGCGGCTGCGTGGTGCTTAGTTGCTGGCTGGGGGTAAACCATGACACCTGATAAATAAAGATCTTTTCTCCTGTTATTAAGACCCTGGGGAAATTCAAGTTGCCAGCTGATGTCTTCTGCATACCTCCCTTAGCACGACAGCTCCTATAGACACAAAATCTTTTACTTCCCATGTCTTCCAAATGTTAAATTTTTCCTTAATACCATGACATATCTGAAAAACAGGAATAAAAAAGATGCAGATTGCCTCTGTATTCTAAGAATCCATAATTCATAGAATCATAGAATACCAGGTTGGAAGGGACCTCAAGGATCGTCTGGTCCAACCTTTCTTGGCAAAAGCATGGTCTAGACAAGATGGCCCAGCACCCTGTCCAGCTGACTCTTAAAAGTGTCCAACGCTGGGGAATTACACCACTATATCACGAATAAGTGCCATAAAAATAACATTTCTAAATACCATTACAGAATTCACTGACCTCTCTGGTTTTGGTGCAGAATGGTTCTGCCATTGGAATATGACATACTCCTGGAAGAGTGGAATGCTGCCCATCGTATAAAGTACAATGTCTTTTAGTTGTCCTAGAAAAGGAGAAAACATACTTGGTGAGAAGAACAGGGAGAAAACAGAAGAGAAAGCAAGAAATTTACACAAACCCAAATCCAACATTCCTGAGAGGGAACAAAAGTATCAGTATGATATTAATGACCAAACTGCAATCCTGTTTTGCCTCTGTACAAACCTTTCAGAATTGAGCTCAAGAGTATAAAACTGTTACTCCAGTAGTACACTGTCAATCAATCAGAGAAAATGTATTGTTAACAAGACGCTGAAATGCTGATTTGTTCCTAAACAACACAAACAGCCACATTATGCTGCGATTCTACCCAAAAGAAATCAGTTAAATTTAATGGTCAGGCAAGTAATGTCTGAAAAAAAGAGCACAGTAAGCTTACAGGAAGGGAAGGAATCAAGTCTGAATTACCACAAAGCTAGTCAAAATAGAGCTTGTTCATATCATTGCTCTCCTACGCTGAAAGGATGGGAATTTATAAGAACAGCATCCTGAACAAAAGAGGTGTGAACTGAAATAGAAAAACCCTGGAACAGGATGTCTTCATGTTCTTAGAAAGATTACACACATGCACTGGCAGCTTGCAAGTAGAAGAATCCTTTTTCTCCATTCTTTCAATTGAGAAACTGTCTCCTTATATGGAAATAGTCAAACATGCTGCAGAAACTACCATCCAGCATACCATTTTGACAACTACTGGAGCTGTTACCTGCTATCACTTTACCTTCCAATGCACTGCTTCAAGCTAATTCAGCCAACTGGATGGCAAAAACCCTCTGGAACAAAATTCTTTAAGACATTCCCTTCTTTCCCACAGTGCGTCACATATTGTACTTTACAGGAGAAAAGGCAACAACCAAATTCAATCCATAATTAAAATAAAAAATTTCTGCTGGTAATACTGCTTGTAACAGTTCCCCACCCAACTGACTGGCAAATATTTAAAAGAAGGTTTTAAATACAAGTTACATGTTACATTTGAAACAGAAGAACCGACAGGGTAGCTTTAAGGACTTCAAGGATGAGATTATAAAATAGGAAAAGAGATCAGCAAATTAAAAACGTATGCAAAATGCGATACAGCTGTTAAAATCAGCTGAAACACTAATATTAATCTTTCCTTTATGGGACACTGAAGAGCTGCAAACAGCATGTATCTGATTTTACACACTTTTTTTCAGTGTATGCTAACAAATTATTTAGAATTGGAGGAAATGGGAAAAATCATAATCTATTTCCTGCATTACAGTATTTCAGATGTTCTTAAGTCAGGTCCTTTCACTCAGAAAAGCCCTGAGGAAAGCTCACATATGCACAAATATTAATCTCTGACTTTCAGATACCCTATGTTCTTTGGAGAGAACAGCCACATCACTACTTGGTCTAATAAAGAAATCCCACTACGTTTAGCACCATACGTACAAACCGCATGGAAGTAAGTAACAATGCTAAGACCCATGACTGCTCTGAGCAATGGACCATGTGTGTTTGCACTCAGAGTGCACCAATTTCTCTTCTGCATAGGTGGCTGCAACTCTGCAAAGGCCACGGCCATTCGCTATGGGGCCAGTTGATGTGTCTGTACATTGCTAGGCTTAGGGTGCAAATAAAGGCAGATTTGAACCAATCTCTGATTCTTGCTATCTAGGAAGTAATGGCTGGCACAGAGGAATGCCTTTTAGCCTCTCCTCCTTTCCGTAGCCCTGCTACTCAAGTGAGGAGTTGGCCATCCTGATCTGTTCCACTCACCTGTCTGCACGGTACAGGGCAGCAGCATGTAATTTTCACTGCCGCAATACCGTTCCTCTGTATCCCCTGCAGAGAGAATGAAGGTTACAGAATCACAGATGCCTTCCTGCCTTACTCCCCCAGAGACCAAAGAGCCAGAGAGCAAACGACAGTATCGGCCTAAGGCTCCTCTCATTACAGGGGTTTCAAGACCTTCCCCGTGTACCCTGAGTGGCTCCTTATGGAACCATCAGGAAACAAGAAATAAAGAACTCAACAGCCACTCTTCAAAGACAATCTGCTCCTTAGATCTCACAGTTTTAAATGTGGAGCAGTCCTCACGCCCTCCAGCAGAAGGAGAGCCTGCTTAACAACAGAGCACAACTGAATGTTATACAATTGCCTGATTGTTTACATAAAACCAGGAAGAACTCATCAAGTGCCTACCTAGAAACTAGCCACACTATTTGTAGTAGAAGCGCACAATCCAGACGGAACAAGGATAGCATGAAGGGAAAGCACAGAGATGCCCCCAGTGGGGGAGATCAGAAGCAGCACCTGAAAGCATTGGACTGGCAACTACAAGCAAGCGGCTAAGAGCCAGGGCTGCCTAGCTCCTGCTAGCCATCTGACCTCTGTAGGGTTCTGTGGAGAACCCCCACCAGACCCTCATGCTGCCTCTGTGCATAACAGTGGATGGTGGTACAGGAGAAAAGAGAATTCTTTCCCTGGGAAAAGGGCATGTATGTTTTTATGCATAACTGCTTGTGTATCAAGCTCAAGGATACAGTGGTACTCGTAGTGCAAGCAAACCCTTGCACTGTTGCATAGTTTTGCTGTGCCTGCCTTGCCCTTACCGCTTTTTCAAATTCAAAGCTGTTACATACTGCAATTTTGAAGGTGTGCCCAGAGTTTGTATTCCCCACCCTGCAGCAATAGCCACACTTTTAATCAGACAGTAAGGTGGCTTTCGCTCCTTTGTTTTGATTTTATCACAGTAACACAGTATTTTCTCGCAATGCTGACTATGACTGATGCTAGGAAGCAAAATACAACTCAAGTAAGTGAACAAACCAATCATTTCCATCTGTGATGAACAGTCCTCTACCACTTGCATCATCACCTTCTCCCTACTTTCAGTAGTGTTGAATTATCAACAGGCAATTAGTAAAGAGCAAAATGAAAATTCACACTGGCATCTGCTGTATAAAAAGCAGTCTCACCATGCTCTGCCTCTTCAGGGACACTGAAAGAAAATTCTCCCATGAAAAATTTTACAGAGTGTAACAATACTGTAATAATTGCAGCGGTGTACGTGACACAAAGAATTCAAACAATAAAGTTGGCAGCTGTTACAGGATTTCTTTTATGAAGCTATTTTCTGCATCTTCCCGACTGAGCTGAGTCATCTAAGTAAGCAGTTACCTTCTTACTCTTCTTTTCCTAGCAAACCAAACAGAAAGTATTAAAAAGCTAATCAGTCTGATCCAGCCAGGTGACTAACAGCACTGTAATAAACTAACAGTAGCCAAAGGCATAAAAAAAATTCTTCCAGGTTTTTTTTTTTAGTCACTTGTTTCAAAGAAGAGAACAACTGTTGTAGCCCACAATAGTACCTGTGGTTACTTCTGGATTTAGAAGTAGGGAGAACACCATGCAAATATTTTGGTACTTATTCAACAAAATATCTTTTATTGTTTAAACACACACACTAATAGATAAGCATAAAGAAAGCAGAGACCCTATATACAAAATAAAACACTTACTAGGAGTGCTAGTGATCTGCAGAATTAAGGTCTCAAAAGCTTGGAAATGCTATATAGTTCTAATTGCACCTATTCAGTGTTCCCCACTATAAGTCAAACCTATGCGCTAAACTAGGCAGAAGTCCTACACAACTCAATATATTGAGATCCTGTCATTAATGTCACAGTATGAATGCCCAAAGGGAACAAATTACAATTGTTGCCTACAGCTTTCTGCTCAGTTCTAGCTCTTCTCTCATTCCCATTCACTATTCCTTCTTCTTGCTTGTCATGGTTTTGGCTGGGATAGAGTTAATTTTCTTCCAGTAGCTGCCATAGTGCTGTGGTTTGGATTTAGTAGGAGAAGAATGCTGATAGCACACTGATGTTTTAATTGTTGCTAAGTAGTGCTAATGCTAGTCAAGGACTTTTCAGCTTCCCATGCTCTGCCAGGTGCACAAGAAACTGGGAGGGGGCACAGCCAGAAGAGTTGATCCAAACTGACCAAAGGGCTATTCCATACCATATGACGTCATGCTCAGTATATAAACTGGGGGGGGTTGGCCGGGGAGCAGCGATCGCTGCTCGGGAACTGTCTGGGTATCGGTCGGCGGGTGGTGAGCAATTGCATTGTGCATCACTTGCTTTGTATATTATTATTATCATTATTGTATTGTTATTATTATCATTACTATTTTACTGTATTTCAATTATTAAACTGTTTTTATCTCAACCCAGGAGTGTTTTCTCAGTCTTACTCCTCTGATTCTCTCCCCCATCCCATTGGGGTAGGGGGAGTGAGCAAGCGGCTGCATGGTGCTTAGTTGCTGGCTGGGGCTAAACCATGACAGTCATTTTTGGCACCCAACGTCAGGCACAAAGGGTTTGAGATAATAACAGATTAACCAGAGTGTATTAAGGAATCTGTTAACAGTTGCCAGTCATGATATTAGTTCATCTGATCTGTACCACGTTCTTTTCTTTGCTGTACATGTTAAAGCTTGGTGTTGTTTTGTGCAGTGTGCTATGCTCTGCAGTGATTAATGATGTTT